TCATTTAGGGACCACCCGTTATAATTTTAGTTTTAATTTTAGCCCTTATATTATGGCTAGCAATTTAGAATGTAATTGCGATATTGAAAATTTATTTCAAAAAGTTTTGGGTCGAGACCTTATAATGAAAAAGAAAACATTATTAAAAGAGAAAGACCAATGCCTAAATTAAATATAAATACGTCAACAAAAAAATTTGTTTGACATTTTCATGATAAAATTTATGAAGACGTAAAATGGCTTTGTGGATGCATAAAAATGCAAAAATTGTTTTGTTGGCCTTGCCTACTAATTTCAAATAAAATTAGTGTGGAATAAGAATGGCTTTGACGATTTAAATAATTTGAGTAAAGCTGGCAAAAAACACGAAAATCGTAAATCCGCATCGATTCTTTCGTAAAATTGAAGCAATTTGGAAATCAAAATAGAATAGAATTTAACATTAGTACACAATATAAAATATATATTGAAAATTATAACAAGATAGTTACAGCTTAATTAGTAGATGTTATCGAAGCGAGAATTGGCATTTAGAGGGCATATAGAATCTATTAAATCTAATATAAGAGAGTTAATTATATTGAACTTGCTTATTTATTAAGTGTGTTAGATAATCTATTAATTAAAAATACATTTAAAGAAGTCTACGTTTTTACTGGCTTATCGAACAAACGAATACGAATGGGACCCTAGACCATCACTGACTGATTGCCCCTGGAAGTTGGCTGCTTACAGAAACACAGCTTCCCTATCATCAAGTGTTACGGCACACCACTGATTTATTAGTTTTGCCAGATCATTTGAAAATCAAGTAAATACATGCAAAAAGATCAATTAATGACAAAGAACAATTTTAAAATCATTTGTTTGTAGAAAAGGGCTGGCATAATTACAATTTAATAAAAGGTAAAATACATCTGGACACGAGTCCAATTTTGCTCGCCATGTCCAATCACCAGGAACAACTATTTCCATTGCAGTGACAACCTTTCTTTAGAGGCTATGCATCTGCACAAATATGTAAAACAGTTTAAAATGTCCACAGATGACAATCCCAACACAATTAAAAATACAATATTTTACTTTTTATTAAAATGTAATTATGCCAGCCCTTTTCTACAAAGAAATACAAAATTTTAAAATTAATTTTTATTTTATAGAGTACTAGCTGTTACCCTCAACTTTGCCCGCGGAGGTTTTGCAAGCAAACCCCATTTATATTCAGTATTTCAACAATCATAGTAATTGTTATATAACACCTACCGCTGAGAATGATGAGAATTGCTTAAAATCAAACGAACTATTTTCAATTTGATCAATTTTCTGGAACGTTTACAATGGTTCTATAATCGAACCAATGTGCAATGACAAATTCAAATTTAAAACGGTTCGAACATTTGGTTAAAAAATCGAAATATATGAAAATATTTATAACAATGTCTGAAATGTTATCAATTTAATACACCTAAGTACTTAATGAAGTATATGTAATAAATACTTAATGTAAAATAGTACAGTAGAAGCCGTTCTTCCGGTTAAGCCTTAATGCTCTCCCTCTCACCCCGCTTGGAAATTTCAAAAAATTCCTTCTTGGTGTGCATTTCCACGATGTACCCTAACTGTGTACTAAATTTCACTTCTAGGTTTGGCAGTTTGCTCTGGGTGATGATAAATCTGTGACTAAGTCAGTCAGTCAGGACAAGTAATTTTATATATTTAGATAATAGTAAATATTTGCATGCAAAAATTTTGTATAAGTAGATTCAATTATACTTTGTCATGCTTCTGTTCAATCCATGTCCACGTGCATGTACAAAAGGGAACTGAACATTTTCATTTACAGTCACTGTAAGCTATAGTAAAAACTACCTGGTTCCTCTGGAATCTATAAACCACATCCCTTACAGTATATTCAGTGAAAAATTCTTCTGAACAACTATTTGATTCCAATAATTTATAAAATTTATTTTAAACAAAATTAATATTTGATTTGCTTTTGTGGAGCATGCTATCATATTGGCTTGACCAACCTTGTTTTAATAGATTAGACATTATACTTACATTTCAGTCATATATTGATAAATTAATAAAATGTCTACCAATCAGATGTGGAAAAATTAGTCTTAACTTTCAGTCTTAATGGATTATTGTATAATGGTTTGGTTCTCCATCTATCAAATACACCTCAACAGACTGCTTACTGAAATTTCATTCTACAGCTACTTAGTAAACTATATACTTATACTATGTAATCTGCTATATACAGTAAGATCCCACTTAACACTGATTCAATATAACATGGTGAAGCCTAAAAAATGCTGAAAATTTATGCTGATTTAAATTAACACGACATTTCATTGATTCGTATATAATACGATTATTCCCAAACATGAACCAATCAGCAATATTGTTGTAGTGCTGTACTTCCCTTAAATCTATGTTGTTTTTGTGTAATTTTGGAAAAAATATATCATCATGGATGTCATAGAAAATATTGACTTCACTTGGCAAGAATTAACTGATAAATGCATGAAGTTATGGCTGAAGGTATCCAAGAATTCTCAACGAGAAGACACAAAAAATGTCACAAAAAATGAACTTTACATTTCTGTGTGCATATGTTTGTGTTATTTAACATATTTTTATATTAATTTGCATAGTAATATAACTTAAAATTATAGTAAAATTTGCTTATTTTTGGTTGCGTCTTCACCTTTCCCTATTTACTCCATGTTAAAATGACCTCATTTAATGCAGTTTCGCTTAGCGCTTTGTTGCCTAGGAATGCATCCCCACGTTAAGTGGGGTCTTTCTATACCTTTCTATCAACTTTGATAGAATTTTTTTAATGTAGCTCAAGAAGGACAAATTAAATTCTATCAACTTTGATAGAAAGGCACAGAAAGACCCCACATGCATAGGCAATAAAGCGCTAAGCAAAACAGCATTAAATGAGGCCATTTTAACATGGAGTAAATAGGGAAAGGTGAAGACACAACCAAAAATAAGCAAATTTTACTATAATTTTAAGTTACATTACTATGCAAATTAATATAAAAATATGTTAAATAACACAAACATATGCACACAGAAATGCAAAGTTCATTTTTTTGTGACGAAGGTCCTGACTTTTCTGAAATTCTTGTTCTTTTGCAAGAAAGTCGTAAAGTTTCATGTGAAGAGAAGCCTCACATGGTTTTGCCTTTATGTTTTGACTGTGTCCAGTTATTTATTTTAACTGAGCAAAAACCTTTTGCACTGATCTTGAGATACTTGATAGTTGAAATTGTAATCTTTCGTTAAAACCTGAAACTCGATTTTTCCCCCATGTAAAGGGTTGGGGTGCATGCCATCCACATCCCACTAACCAGTTTAATGCTTCGTTATTAATGTAATAGAAGTGATATACAGCATGGTGTAATGTGTGTGTCTGTATATTTATAATATTGAGTACAAACTCTTTTTCAAATCACTTCATCTGATAATTGTGTCTTATTCATAGAAAACAAAAATTTATTTATTTTGTTCAGTCTAGTTATTTTTTAAAAAAAGAAAAATACAGCCACTCTAAAAATGAAGTAGACATATTTATTTCCATTAATTATTTACAGAGTTATTGACTTTATCTATTGTTCATTAATCAATATATGGAGCGAATCCACAAGAATGCAACACTAAGAATACTATTTCAAATGTCAAGTGATATTCTTATTGATTCGTCCCAAATTTATAAAACAAAAAAAGAGAATAAAGATAAGAGTTATTCTTTTGAAAAGTGAAAATTGTAACCAAAACTTAAACGTTCCATTTGCCACATTTGGAGTAATCTACTATGTTGTTACAGTAAAAGCTACATATTTCCATCTTTCAAAACAAATTCTTTAATTTCAGTTCTCATTATTGTTAAAACCAGTAATTTTATAAATTAATAACAATGCAAAACATATATAAAATATTTTACAAAATATCAACAATTTATTTCTGTAATTTTTTCATATTGTCACATAGAAAAATGTTAAATGAAATAAAAAAATTGCTAAAAACAAATTAATTTAAGTCTTCTTTTCCTATTGATAAGTTAAGTTTTCTGAATATTTAATTAGGCACATAGCTTTATGTTCTGTAGTTAGAAATGGCATTAACCAAATTTTGAACAAGTAAAATAATAAATATATTTATATAAGTTAATAGAGCAATTCCTATTTTAATATTTTTGCATAGTCTATCCTCAAAACACTTTTTTATTTACAGGTTTTTTAAACCATTAAAGCAAACTCATTGGGAGAACGTTGAGGTAGAAAGATATCGAAAAGCATTGAAGGAGAAATCGTAGAATGCATATTTGATCATTTGCAAACATAAGTGACAATAATGATTAAGAGTAAAAAATTTTTATAATCACCAATTAAGTATGCTTAATTACATTTTTTCTTGAGATATTAAAGTGTTTTCACTTTCAATTGCTTCATTCTGGGTGCTCTCTTCTTCAACTCACGGCGGTGTTCCCGTTCCTAGATATAAATTCTTTTTTTTATTGGATAAAGGAGATAAAATTAATTAACATTTCAAAAACAGTATTACTTACTTCCCATTTTCTTTGTTTTTCAGGATCTTCCTCATTCATCATACGTTCCTTCTCAGCTCTGCGTTTCTCCTCTCTGCGAAGCTGAGCTGCTTCTTGTCGTTGGGCATGAGTGGTTTTGAGGAACGCCTCTTCTACTTTCTGACGATTTTTCTCTGCCTTGGCTTTGGCCTATAATATTTTTCAATTTTTATAATTATTTTGAATAGACCAAGATATTTTGTGTAAAAAAAGTTTCAATTAAAATGATACAGATTAAGCTTTTAGCATAATGACACAAAAAAGATTACTTAGTCTTTAAAATACATATTCCTCTAATAAATTTACTCTTTTTATTGACTCAAACAAGTTATAATTATTGTCATATCCCTTATGTAATTTTATAAATTTTGTCAGTTTGATGACAATTCAAAAACTAACTGCACTATCACTCAAGTATATCACTCAATCACATGCAATCTTGAAAAACAACAAAAGAGTTATTTAAGTGTAAAAAAACTAACATTTTTAACTATCTTCATCGGGTTTATGTTCTAAATAATGAACAATTTATACAATAGTTTTTTAGTTTTTCCACCTGAATAAACCTTTTGCTGCTATTCAAGATTGCATGTGATTCATTTGATGATGTCAATGTTTAAGAATTAATAGGTTTGAATTATTTTTTATAAGTCAGTTTCTAAGGTGTATGTAGAAAATTGCAAAGTTGGAAAGTCACATGGCTAAAATAATCATCATTGTTAAAGAAAAATTTCATTAAATCTTGCAATTAGTTGTTTTAAGATTAACTAATAATAATTTTCCTTGAATCCTACATAAATTATAAGTGGGGATGATAACTTTTTCTACTGTTTTTTCTTGTGTCTTTATATGTGCAATAGTCAACTTTTTTTTTTCTTCTAAACAATGTCTTTTGTACATTTTTGAGCTGCAATTTGAAAAAATTGTAGACATATAAATTCCCACTGTCATCCATCTGTCTGTCCTTCCTTAATCTCAAAAACGGTATTAGATAGATGAAAGTCTAGACCAGATATGGAAAGCTTTGGGGCAGGAGGCCTCGATTAACTATATACAAACTTCCAGACTAGACTGGAAGTCATATGAATTCAATTAAAAAGTTTTCCCTAAATGGAGTTACATAGATGACCAGCATGACTCTGTTTTCATCAGAAAAAATATGATGTACAGGGGCAAGTCATTACAAATTTGAAATGGAGAACATATATTTTAAATTGAATAAATTAAGAATATGATTAAAAGCTACATCCCAGCATTGTGATAATGTCACAATAAATAAATGTTCATTACAATGTTTTCATCCAAAGCCTAATAAATTTATTATTACATGTTAGGAAAATTTGGAAATTACAATTTGTTTAAAATATTACATAGTTAGATCTTTCCAGCATTGCACAAGTGTATGCATGTAGTAAATTAGTTTCAGTGGTATATATAGTAAAGTAAATTTAAAAAAGGGATGTATGTAAATTGTGCAGAAGTTCTGTAGTAATACATATCTTTACACTCAGGAGAGATGGAAAATTTAACTGAAGGGAATCATTTTATGATGATTTAACATAATGTACAAAGTACCTCTAACTATAAAGGATAAATAAAAATCAACATAGCTTTTTTTGGTAGGAACAATGATTTGTGGATTATGGAAAATGTATAAATGAACTTCTGTTTTTTGCAAAAAAAATTTTTGTATTGCCTGAAGAGGCAATATAAAAATTATTAAAAAGATTAAGAAACACCCAAAATGCATAGTGATAAAAAATACTACCATCAAAATATCTTAGTATTGGTTTTCTCTCTGATTAAATGCAGTTATGGATGAAAAACAACGGTTGATTAATTTTTTAACCTTAAAGTTTTAATATTTTTTAAAATAGCTTTCTTTTGCTAAATTTATGCATTTTTTATATTTAGTACATGTTCAAAATAACTGCCTACAGCAACAATAAAAACATAAAGCTAATTAAAAATTGTATTATTGATATCATGATGACTGGCATCACTATCCTATAAGCCACTCAAATTTACTTTTCCAGCTTGCGAATATCACCAGTGCTGCTTTTTGGAAAAATCCAATGGTCATGGTGGCCATGGAACAGGACTGTATTTTCTCATCCATTGATTGTTGAATGATGCTGACACATTATCTCTCTGGTACTACACCTGCTATAGTTGCTTCATTTGTCCACTGTAGTGTGTAGGATGTGCTGTCAGTATGGTATAATGACGATGAATAGATGCCATATCAGATGTTTAGTGTAAAATATACCTGGTGTTTCATATTTTGTTATACTGTTGTAAATTTAATATCATGTTGTGCCAGTTGAAGATAAAAAATATTTGCAGATAACTGTTGAATGCCTATTAACAGTAATCTGCAACATGTCTTAGAAACAAAATTCAATGTATTTGTGGCTGCTGCAGTCCACACTGGCTTGCTTCTTTATGTATGTGGGTATGCAGGGAATTATGCCAAAACTTCAATGTCAAGAAGACAAGGACAACTAGGACTATGAATTCTGACTGTGCTACCAATTTCCATCAAGCAGCATATATCCAGAATTGTCATAGGTTTCAAGAATGCTTTCCAGTTGAACCAAGACCTATACCTATGTGATGCTTCTCATGAATTTCATCTCATTTCTCCATAAAGTATAATCATTTCACAGTAGTTATTACCACAGATGTCAATGTGTTCTACCAAATAGCAGAATACATGATATTAGCTCTTTAATAGAATGTAAAAAAAATGTGTGTTGCTACATGATTAGTCAGGATCAACTTTTAATTTCCATATTGTGCTTATTTTGGAAAATTTGCATATTGTCATAAACTAATTTGCAATCTATATATATCTCTTTTTAGGATGAATTTATCTATTTAACTGTAAACATCACAATGGAACTAATGCATCATATGTGTATATTCATGCAATGCTAGAAAGATCACTTGGATAAACATTAAAGTGAATACCTAGTATATAAAAAACAAGACATGATTATAGAATATCACATCTATTTGAATTTTGATATCAACAATTTCTCATTTGCATGAAACATTAACATATGATAACTAACCTCTTTACTCAAGTGAAATCTTCGTATTTTTTCAATACAATAAAATACTAATTGCAATAATGGCTTTGTTTCTTCCATGACATCTACAGTTACATGACTATTGCCTGGTACTGTTAAAAATAAAAAAAATTATTAGGAAAATAAAATATAAAATGTATACTAAAAGAAATTAGTACCATTAAATCCAAACAGAAGAACTTTCTTCACTTCTGGCAATTTAGTTGGCTGGGATTCTCTAGTAAATAAATAATAAAATTAACAAAATTGTGTGTACATTATTTTAAATCATTGTTAATAACAGTACACATTAAAACTTCATAATTTCTGTTATAATAAAATACATTTAAATATTCTTTACTCTTTATTAATGAATATTTGATTGTTTAAATTATATAAAATATCTTCTTATGTAATTTAAGATGTTGATCTACATCTGCAGGGTAATCCAGGGGTGCAGAGGATACATATGCATTCCCTAAAATCCTAAATAGAGAAGAGTTTTCCATAGAACAACTAGAAAGCCAAATAGTTCTGCATTTTTTCAGTTACATTAAAGGTCTCTCTATAAAACTCCAACAATCAACTTTAGATATTATGTAAGCATTTGAAATGGTGTCTCACTTGAAATCAGTGTTAGAACAGTCTATGGAAGATACTTCAGAATTTGATCTTATGTACTGTACAGTAAGAGTACAATGATAACAAAATTAGCAAACATTGACTCTAATGGTACCCTGTATGCATGGAAAGTAAATTCATCGAAACAATATTGAAGGAAATAACCCAATAGTATACTCTAAGCAAGCAATTTATAGATTGTTTATAGATTCTCTGATTTATCAATTTAACCTGAGGTTGTAGATAATGGCTAATAATGTGATTAAGGGGTCTACCTGATTCCATCAAATACGAGCTGAGAATTAAGTGAAGAAATAGCAAATAAAATTTTAAATTATTAGACAATTTGCCATATGCTGAATCTTTTAAACATGAGCTGAAACTGCAAGAAAGGGTTTGGCTTGACTTTTATGATAAGACTGACAGTATAAAATCAACATTATCTAATAGCAGAAGTTGTTCTAAAATATTCCCAAATAGTACTAAAGTTCTTAATCTTTTATTAATACCAGTAATTTCATTTGGTGTTGAAAGAGCAAATTTGTTATTGGGACATGTAAAAGATGATTTACGAAGCAGCAAGAATGAAGAGAGATTTAATGCACTTAAGTTATTTTGTTGATGACACATAAAAGACATTGACATAAACTTAAGTGAGAAAACATCCAAGATGGATGTTACTTTTAAATTCATTTGAAAATAAAGAATTGTATTGCATACTGATGTAAAATATTGGAAATAAAAACATTTTCTTTTTCCAGATTAAAATCATATTTTTATGAACACATTCTTGATACTAAAAATAATCAATATTCACATGAAGTACACCACCTAAATGAAATTATTGGATCCACACCTCATCTGGGAATTAAAAGTAACAGTTAAATGTCACAAAAATTACTACAAAAAAAGTAATAGAAATAGTGTTTTTTTTCTACCTTTATAATATTGATCAATTGCACAATGAAATAGTTAAAGTTTTTGTATGTTTATTTATAAATCATTCACTTAAATTATCATTTTTATATTAACTTAGTTAATCAGTATCATAATCATTGTTTTAATTTAATAGTCTTGGACAGGGGTGGCCAACAGTTTTTGCCCCGGGCCGAATTGGAAAGAAAACTTTTTCCACAGACCAAAGCAGAGGCTGCCCTAGGAAGATTTTGAGGTGGTGTGAGATCTCATTGTGGTGTCACCCCGTAGAGACTGAATCGTAGATAGAGATTACAGATACATTTTTCACATTATCATGCTTTATCAACATTCTATGCTGTACTTAGGAGATTTGTAATGGAGCATTAACTCTAAATGCACAGTGAGTTGTTGACCTTTTTTTTTAGGCGTCAGAATTTTTCATCGAGCTATTCGGACTTCACTAGCTAATGTTGAAAGATTGATTGTGGGCCACGTAGATTCATTAGACGGGCCATATGTTGGCCATGCCTGGTCTTG